GCTTCTAATTGTTATGCGACTGAGAGTTTGTATGTTTGGTTCTGTGTATCTTTTGTTTCTCTTCGCAAATGATATGATGAACATGATTTTGTGGGTGTCTCTCCGTCTGAGTGGGCTGGCAAGCACGGGCCGATACAACATACGCCCGTCTCTGTGTTTTGCTTCTGCTCTTTCTGTTTAGTCATCTGTTCATCGCGTTCAAGTCAAGAATCGCTTTCTTTTCTCTTCTAAATCTTGCTTTTCTTTTGTGCAACATGTTACAAACTCTCCAATGAACTACGGCCTTACCTAATTTTCAATGCACTGTTGCCGGCAGTATATCGTTAGTCGTATTATTATTATGTCTTCTGATTTGATATAATCCTGTCGTTGGTAGATACATGTTCTCCAGTACATGCACGCGACTCTAATGCGTGCGTAAAGTGTCAAAAACTTGGCAGGGTTAAATGTGGGGTGTGAAGGATGAAGTAATATCGTACTGAATGACACTTTGAATCGAGACTTATTCCGCAGTTCCTACTAACTAAAGATAACAGCGAAGATAATGCACAGCGTACAACATTGTCACTCGGTTCGGTAATAACGTAACGCTTTCGTCGATAACACCAATCGCATTGCATTAAACGAACGTGTGTATAGACCGTAATAAAATCAGCTTTTAACATTAGAATAGTTCTCTCCGTTCAGTCAGGTCCTTTGACGACTCAGGTCAAAAACTTAATAATATAGTGAACGCTTTTCTCGTGCACCAGTTATACATATAATAGAAAGATCCTATCCTTACAAATGTACGACACAGTCATAGTTAATCGTGCGTAACACGGTACCATGGAGTACTAATAACAATAACATCAACAACAAGACTCATCACATTGTTTTGATAAGAACAATCAGAATTATAAGAATAGTTGCCAGTTAGTTGTTGCTGCTTAACTATCGCTCAGAATTGGTCCCCCTAGCAGGCTGAGGCAAACAGACTTTTCATTAACACTTATTAATGGACAAGACAGTAATGATAATAACATTCAAGTTGTAGCTACGCTAATTAATAACAATATCGATTTTGCATAATACCGCTAGAACGATGTCACAGTGCTAAAGGGTCTATCGTACGAAAAATCAGCAGCAACCACTTCCACGTCTGATCAATAATAATAACCAACACCAATGACACGCCCGTGTAGCGCTCTGTTCGTGGACCATTTCTGTTGTGTGCCGCGGATACATTCACGACAATTTTAGATTTTCGTTACAAAGAAAGAACAACACAAATCGTATTAAAAAGCGGCTCGTTCGTTCGCATAATGCTTACCGTACGCACACAGTCATGCAATGGCGTATGCTTGCCAAAACACATCCAGAAGTCACAGATGCTCATATACATATATATATATATATATATATATATATATATATATATATTACACATAGAAACACTAGCACAAACTCGAAGCTAACAGACATAGGCCGTTGCCGCCAATAGTAATATTAATATGTATAATGAGGAAGGGCACACGGTTTCTGGCAGCGGTTATACAGTGAGTGGCGGCGGACAGTTCATATCTACGCAGCTCCATCAGCGTCGCTTCCCTGACTCGTTACCCCTCAGCTTTCAGGCTCGTCGTAAGGTACGTATGCAATGTACAAGTACTTGGCAGTCTGGGAGGGCGCGGTCACTCGGCAATAGACAGAAGACAAAAGACGTGTGAGCATTCCCCCGGATCTGCCAATGGGCAGCGGCTTTGTATGTATAATACATCATTAACAACAGCTCAGCAGTCGTCTGAGGTTGATGGCAAGGTCATGCTATCTTGCACTTCATAATCGTGATACTCGTAACATCATAATCGTTGCTTATAGTTGCCACTGTGGTCATCCTCATTACCACCATCGTCAGCAACATCATCATAAGGGTCGTGAAGCGTCCCCGGTCGCGACCTATAATGCCATGATGTTTCCTTATTTCGGAGATAGTCATACCCGGACCTTGTTATTTTGTGAGATTCTTCTAAGCACTTTGTCGTCCTCTTATATATATATAAAGCCATTATTGTCATGTTCATAAATATCGCCATGTTCATCGTACGGTCTATATGTGTGATTAGTGCTCGTGTGTGTATGTGAATGGGTTCGAAGTGAAGCAGAAAGACACAACCGATCAGCGCGATTTGGAAAGAAACCGCGATATCATTCGGAGGATGTCGACTCGCACTCGCTTAGATTTAGGTTTCGGAATTTTTTCCTCAAGACCTCGTCGACCTTAATCAGGCCTTCAACAGATAATTATTTGTCGTATGAATTAGCCAGCCGTTCACTGGATACTCATTAGACTAACACATAACCATTATTAAATACACAGCAGAATTTAACTACTACTTATAATCTACTTTTCTTGACGATTAATCCTTCAAATATTTAGAAAGCTGTGCCTGCGGTAAGAAACTTCAATTCAAAAGGAAGTTCAAAAGAGAGGTAAGCAGATTCCTTTGAAAGCAGATGCCGTTAGTACAAGGCATTGTCATTTTCGTCGCCTTTCGTTTCTAACAGATAGAAACACTATGGGCACATTTGATATCGAGGTCTTACACTATACCGTTATTACTGCCGCCACACGCAGTCCACTGATGTCGAGGTTGTTATGCTCCCTTGTTTGGTTATTCATTCGCTCGTTCGTCAACAGATAACTGCGTGTGTAACCATGTTTGCGCTAAGTTAACTCGAAGTTGCCTCTATGGGCTCATATCAACTGCTAGTATCGTGCGGCCAAAAAAACACTTCCTAACAAAAGGGCATCATGACCTTTATAGCGGGATATATATATGCAGACAAAATTTTTCAAATATGATGCTCTGCCAATCGAAAATAGCATCTTTTATATTAAAGAATTGCAGTTCCATCAGGGCTTTAATCAAACGCGTCGCGTTGCGGCGGGCGTTAATCGTCGATGCGTCGAAGCAAGCCTTGTCATGCACGACGACAAACGATCATTATCATGCATCATTCATTTGTCTGTCACGTGACTGCTGCACATGCGGGGGCGTTGTTTCTTGTTCGGCTTGTTTCGCATTCTTCGATCCGCCACATCGTTTCTCATTATGGAGAACTAATTACACAATCATACCGCTTGTTTCAATATATCATTACACCTAATAGTGCCTATAGGTGTTCTCTCTCTTCTCGAACACATAATAACCACAATGATGTCTACTACGAATGCTGGCAGTTGAAGAATCAGGGTGGCTTGATGAACAGCAGTATTGGTAGTGATGGTAGGGATCGGTGCCACACGTATATGTCATTAGAATATTAGTGCTCGACATTCGGCGAGTTTAAGTTTCTGCTTTACAGTACACACATACAGCTTTTGTTTTTTTCAGATATTCAGATCATGCTATTATCATTGTCCGCATTTGTTATCTTCGTTTAGAAATTCTCGTCCTCTAATCTTCGCCATCTTTTTTTTTTGCCCTAAGGTCGGCCACTTTCTCTTCGTGCTGATTTTGCTGTCCCGTAGCTTGGTCGTTGCAGCGAGCAGAATACGATCCGTGTTCGAACCTCATTGTATCTAGATGCCGTGTATTTGAGTACCTGCTTCACCATGTACCACTGTCCGTTTCCCTCTACCATACAAATTCTATGGCCGAGTAGAGCAGGACGAAATTGCTGCTGCAACTTATGTTTAATGGTTAGGAGAATCGTTATGGCAAATGCCGCTTCGACGTTAATCTCTCTCTCTCTCTCGCCCCCTCCCTCTCTTTCTCGTCCCTCTCCCTCACTCCTTACCCTTCTGTGTTCTTCATCTGCATTTGGTTTCGCAATTAGTTAGTATTTATTATTTATCATCAATATTTTCCTTATTATTAAATAGTATTAGATTAATATAATAACTATGGTAATTATTATTTGATTGTTGTAATGACTATTATGAACAAAGACTCTGCAGATGTCACCGTAGCAATACTTGAAGCGAGAGTATCATATACGTTATTATATATAGTTGGGTCCCGTGGCACACGTGGTAACACTGAGCTATCATTGAGCGAACAGAACCATTCATAATTAGAGCAAGAATTATTACGAATAATATTGTTCAATTATCATAGTTGTATCAGGATTATCTTATTTAAAAAATAGCGGTAGCTCATTCCTCTAATATCAGAGTGTCCGGTTAACGACGTTTTCTACGAACCACAATCTACCGAACTGGCTTGCCATTGCTTATCCGCAATCGACAGAAAAATCGGCAGTTTCAATTAGTGATCAGTCGCCGATTAGGGTATTAGTCAGTTTAAGCTGTACGCTGCTCTTACAGTTGTTGCCGCCGGCGTAAGAACTCGCTTGCTGTTACCTTAAACTTTACTTAGAGGTTGTACCTATACTATTATCTGCTAATTATACGGCAACCACCCGTCGATCCGTTGTTATCTGTTTATGCTAGGCAATCCATCTCTAGCCAGTCGTTTCCCGCCTTCAGAACGTTGTGTCATGACGTGCTGTCGCAAGTTTTACTGATCTGCACGTTTTTGCTTTCCGTTTTGGCGAAGTAATTTGAATTCTTATTAGTCTGTGTAGCCTTGTTCCTGGATGGTTTGTGACACATCGTTGCCATATGCGACGTGTTGCTGCTGTTGATGCTTATCGTTACTGCTTTGGTTTTTCTCGCGACGATGAGTCCGTTACAAATATCACGAATGTGTATCTTTGTCATTATCGTTGTGTGCTCGTTAAGCGGCAATTCGCAAAAGGGTTACCCATTCGACTCTTGTCTACCGCTCTGATAAGTTAAGGGGTTACAGTTTGCTGCTCACTCTGTCTACGTTCTTGAAGGAATCTGCCCGCTCAACAGTGAAAGCTTCGTTCGGATGCTGTCTGATAGATCGATTAAGGGAATCGATGGATCGGACGGACAGGTGGATGCGTAATAGAGACATGCAGATCTATCGGAAGCTCGCATGCTATCTGCCCGCAATCTGCCTCCTCTACTTTTTGCCCCTCGGCATCCTGAGCGTTTACTGGCCCTACTAAATGGTGACTATGACGGGAAACCGCGCTGTGGTTCCATCGTAAGTGTCGTTGTTGTCCTCATGGGCCGAACTCCTGGGTAACGCCACGTTCACCGTGACTCGGTTTGCGTTGAGCTCCACGTCGCCGAGCGATGCAAGCGTTGCCGGCGGATAGGGTACTACGTAAATGATGCCTTCTAATAACAACTTGTAGTAAACAGCCACGATTAGGAAGAAATAGATCTGTACAAGATGATAGAAAAAAGAAAAAACATATTATCGGTTAAAAATGGTAATGAGTTGACAAACGCACGAGGCGCTATGCTCTACTGTGGTATGTTCAAATGTTTTAAGGGACGCACAGTGAACATATAAAATCAAATAGATGGTAATAGGGAAGTAAGACGATAATAAGGAGTATTTGTGAGTTAATGAGGTGCCTTTATGACTAATAAGTTGCTGAAAACCTTTTTTTTTCCACTCTACTATTCATCAGTGCGTTATGTTCAAATGCTGTACATGGTAGTTACCAGGTAGAAACTGAACGGTAAGCAAAAATATTATATCGAAAGGTCTGCATAACAAGTAGAGTTAAATATTGGAGAATACGTCACCGTCCCGTACCCGAACGCTGAGAAATATAACAAAGAGGCCGCCGACGAGACCCGCAAATCCGACATATAGCGACACAACAAAGAAGTGGATGGCCCCAATTAGGTTATATAGAATGCAGATGGAGTTGTACACCAGCCACGGGATCAACAGGTAACGGTTATCCTGTAAATGTGTTTCCAAAAAGTTCCGTTTCGCTAGTTTGTTTGTGCAAAGTCAAATGAGCAGGGATCGCGTGTTCAATTGTGCGACCTGAACCAATGTTCGATTATTAGCTGTTATTTGCCGTGGCGAAACTGTCGCCGCGGCACTTAGTTTTCTTTGGACTTTTCATTCTATCACAAACTTACGTCTTTGCTGGCTTTCAGAAGAAGAACACAACCAACAATTTCAAATATACAATCCACCATATTGCCAACCAGAATTGCCGGAAACCCTGAAATCCCGCAGCGAAATAGCGAAACTTTCTTTAGGTCCTTTTAAATCATATATTTTTCTTAAAAATAATCTCCTAGATATTTTCGAACACTCGTATGCGTTGGTGGAATTGGTATATTTGCATTTCTAAAGGCTATGTATAATTGAAGGTCCAATTTCCAACATACATAAAGCATACATAGCGCACATAAAGATAGTATCACGCTGGGGTGATGCACAATCGCATAAGTTTCGCATTGGACACACCGATGATCGTCTGAGGACAACGTAAAATTTATTTTCTTTTTTTAGACGTTCAAATGTGACGATATATGTTACTTTATTAATTATTAATAATAGAGTTACTTGAAAACCCGTTTAAAGTGCTGACGAATATGTAAATACGTTGCATTCATATTTATTAAATAAAAATATTGACAATATGTAAATGCTGTTTTATGTTATAGGACCAGGGTGCGAGATCTTCAGGAACAGCTGCCGTCGTACATGCTATGGTCACACAGATTATATGATTATAACATTAGCAGCGTTATTTGGTTCCACGAGAAATAGTTGTCATCTTAACGCAAGTTTGTGACTCGCTCGTACACCAACATGATTTCCCCTGAAGAAGGTGGAACGCTGTTCAACTTTGTCCTAAGTAAAGGGCTACTGCAGAGCCACATCGAGCGTGAGAGAGGGAGGGAGGGAGGGCTGCGGAAGAGGGAGAGAGCCCACACGCGAAAAGGACGGTCTAGGTAATTAATACTCCAGTATTGCCACAATGCTGAGCTAATCTTAGTCTAAATATAAAAGTTATATTCTAAAGCGAATACGCGAAAGTATGGCTATAACTTCGTAATAGCAACAGGAGCAGAACTTATAATTGGCAGAGTTATCCATTTTGCTTCTTTTTCGTGATCATAAACCAGTACGAATGCTCAAGAACTGAAGCGCAAAAGAAGGGAAGAGAACGATCTTAGTAGCTTTGTTACAGTAGACTGAAACTTTGCAATATTAATATCACAACTGAAACTTTATTCTATCCAAAATGGTGAAGACCATTTCGAATATTATCGTAAGGGTAGGATTTATTATAGTTAGCATCAGTGGTGAGCTGTGTTGATATTGCGCTGTGGTGACATTCAGAAATTTCACGTGGGCTTCGAACCCCATGGATTTGAAAGTCGAACGTTCGGTGCTCTGGCTTGTCCGCTATAATCCGGCTAGACAGAATCTACATACGTTTCGTTTCACTGATAATACTAATAGAAAAACAAGTCGTGTAAGTCAAGATGTTTCTCCGTTGTACTTACACGTGGTCTTAAGTGAAGGGTCGAGATCAACGTCAGGAAGCTGCACATAAGCTAGACATGCGCACACCAAATTTAGTATGCGAATTACCTGAAATTTGGCATACATTAACACAAGAAAACAATTACCATTCAGCAACTGACTATAGGTCAAATGAGCTGCTACTACGCGCTCAAAAAGCTATTAGCTAGATTAGATGATATTCTTTCACTAAAGTCTTCTGAGACATGTTCTAGTATTACTGTATCTTCGTGTTATTTGTAACACCGAAAAAGACACGCTATAATGCGAGAGGCTTTGAAAATTTGAACATCGTATTTTTATATTAAAGATTTTGTAAAACTGAAGATGCAAACGATTTGGCTAAAATTGAAGACAAAGTGTTACTCCGAAAATAGGTTGCGGAGTCAGATACGCTAAAGTAAAGTTCTTGAATACGAGGCAAAAGCGATATTTTTGGTTTTTCGAAGAACGAGGCACACGCTATTATGACATCAATTTGCGAGGTCCAAATAATACAGTCGTGATTAACAACTATTCCTGCTTTAAAAAGAAAAAACGTATCCGATGTGTGTCACACGGCTCTACTTTATAAAAAATTATAAACGAAATCTATTATGAGGATGTTGTGTTGCCACTGTCAGAAATAACATGTAGCTATAGTGTAATCATTCACTATTTAGGTAATGTTTTTATTTGTAAATTCAAGTTGTGCAATCGACTAACGGCTATCAACAGTTCGTTCGGATCACTAGTCTTTTTATGGATAACATTGACAAGAAATGATGTAAGCCATGTTTATTTGCCATTTTCAGCAATATTGGTTATTATTTAGATAACTATGCAAACGTTATCGTTCACCGTATTTTTCCATTCTTCTCTTTCTGTTGTATGTAAGAGAAATTTGATTAAGATTCAAAGATAAGAAAACAAACACAAGCTTTGTTTCCCTCCTATAAACAGGCATATATAAACCCTGTAATAGAACAATCCATTCCATAGTTTAGCTTTCACGCGAATTCTGCAGTTTGTTAAGAAGTTTGAACCCAGCCAGAGGGAAATCGGCCAGACGACCTTGGTTAAACGACGCCAGGACCACCAAAGCAGACTAGCAGCCCTCTTCCTGGGACTTGCACATTTGTTTTTCGCCACACGTTGTTACTGAATAGCATGGAACCATTATAATCATCTAACGTTCGTCTTATGGCAATGCCTTTATAGGTTATGAATTTTTCGACTAGTCCTATTTTAATCATGGCGCTGCTAAATTTAGCCGAAACTCCACGAACCCGATAGAAGCCTTTTCTCGTCTCACTGTCACTTCAAATCTATCCCGTTCCGTTTCTCCCCAACCACGTTAGAACCCTTGAGTAAATCTCCACCTCGCGAAAAACACTCCAAAATTCTTCCCGCCGGTCCTGATTAACTCGTGCCAAGATCGCTTTTCTTTGCCGAATCCACTTATTCTTCCTTTCAAAGCCCGGGAAACTCTGTCTCGGTATGTGTTGCGATTCATCCCTTGTTATGACTGCATGCTTTCATGCTTGTTTCACTGCATGCTTTTTCATGCTACCATGCGCTCGCGGCCCGCTTGTTCACCTCGAGCCCTTGTATCGTGACAAGAAGCCGCTGAAGCTGTACTGAGTTGATCAGAGTGGCTTGGTACCAGCCATAGATCTTGATTTAAACCCTTTTCTTTGCAAAATACTGGTAAATCGCTTTGAGTTTGGTAAAGCGCTTTCAAAAAGTTATCGTTCTTACGAAACAATTCGTGTTAATTTTTTCGCTTCATCGGTCTAGCCCATAAGTCAAAGATTTGTTTGGTTAGATAAGCTTCTAATCCTAATCTATAATAATAATAAACTAATCCTAATCTAAGTCAATGATCTGTACGTAATTCCTTCATAAAATGCTTCTTACACTCTAAAACGCGACTAATAAATTAGATATACTTTATATCGTGATTTGCTATTGATGCTAAAACTTCTCTAAAAGAAATTTGCTTTCTTTTTGTAAAAAAAATAAGTCGAAATAGAGGTCGGAGTTCCGATTACCACAAATAAATATGCTGGCAGGATAGCCACAATTTTAAGTGAATGGACGCCAGAGTAATGTATTATTTGACTCGGGAATCGCAGTGCAGGGCCTCATCAAACTCCGTGAACCTAAAGCAATTACGACTCTTCAAGTGAAATCTTCGACTTTCTATTATCGGCGGAGCCGATAACTAGCCCTGTTCTTTTCACGAGTAAGAACAGGACTTTTTCTCCAGCAACGGGGTACTAGATAGAGCTCATTTAACATGTCCTAGAGTGAACAGTGTTTTCTTTCGATCGATAACGTCCTTAGCTTACCTCGTAATCAGGTCTCTTGCCTACTACGAATTCTGATTGACTGTGCCAACGTAACCGTATGCAGGTGTCGTGCGGCGAATCACAGTCCGAAGCAGCATAGATCTCAGAATGCTAGGCTTGGCGTGACCTGTCGCCGCCGCGACCGCAGGTGTCATCACTAAAAGCGGAGCTTGCCAACCAAAAATCTTTTTGCTCTTCCCTTAGATCTGAACAGATCCTGATAATACGTTGTGTAAAAGACAAGTCAGTTTTTTTTAGTAGATAGACCAGTATTGGTAAAACCGAATCAAACCATTGCTGGACCAACAGCTATTCACTTGCGCCGAGTGGAAGAGGATCGGGCCTTTGCTTGGTTTGAGACCTTATTCAGCCGTGTATCCCGTTGCAGCATTTTTGTATACCGGAAAAACTGACAGAATTGTAGGAAGTGGCCCCATTGGTTTTTCATCCTTACGCGCTTCCGCCTGTCCACGAGCTATTCAAAACCTCAAAAATGAGCTAAAAGAGGTGCAGGCCAATAGGCCCTGAACGAAACCTGAAGCGGAAAGGCCTCTGACGCCTATTTGAATGACTATTAGCGAGCATATAGGCGTTAGCAGTAAGAATACTCAGGTGAATTCCACAAACAGGATATTGTGAGCAATGCATCAAAGTCGGTTTTTCTGTCTTCTATGCAAGTGTTGATTGAGATTTCAGGAAATTGTATTTCATTAAATCGTACCGTTGATGATATCGTGCATATGTTATATGTCAAGAAAGATGGACGATATGAAGTGTGATGGCGCAATCGTGAACAAACAGCCGGCAAACGTTATATTTTAGTGCAGTGTACTAAAAATAATGGTAGACTGACAAGGAACGACAGTTTCAAAGGCTTACTAATGTACTGTTGTTCCGAAGGTACTCGTGTATTCTTTAAATTTTTTATTTTTTTTTGTTTGAAGACGCCTTCGTCGAGATTTTGCTTTTTTCGGGCTAAACATAGTATAATCATTACCTACAAACAGCGTTTAACAAATTAAGCGATTCAGTTCACCTAATTATATTTTTTATATAGTTATACAAATTCTTATCTGTGCCAGGCCAGTAGGCCTAGTATATATAAGGTACATAACTCTCAAAATACAGATTCTAGTCACACATATTCGTTATATCGCCATAGCACACCTCCGCAAGAAAGTTTTGCAAGCATTTCCCTTCTTGCATTCGAACAATTCTGTATATTAAGAATAGTATGGCATTAAGTACTAAAGGTTTAAGTAATGTGAATCACCAAGAATTGGTAAACATTTAGTCTTTCATTAATCGTTGTATTTAATACTATATATATATATATATATATATATATATATATAAGTGTGTGTGTGTAACGAATGTTATATAGGCGCAAAATCCCAAGAAGGTTTTAACTTAAGTGGGATTTCAAGTTAAGTTCAACGCTCTCTAAGCAGAATCTCTTTGTGAATGACTGTTTTCTTAGTGTTAAAGTGCACAATACGAAGTAAATATCTATTCACACGGCCACGAAGGAAAGCATAATTATCAAAAAATTACTATAAAATCTTCAGTCAAATAAAATTGCGAATTTTAAACACTTCCAATCCAATTTTACGTTAATTACAACACCAATAACTGGTTATTTTTACCACGATTATTATGCCTTTGTTGTTCTGCACAGATACATTAACAGACTGCGCTCCTGGCCTACTCCGGTGGAGTCCAAAAAAAAAAAGCCTTAGTGCCTCTATTTATTCGAACGCAAACAGTTCGAAGTGTGTGGCAAATTCGAGGTCGTTTGTTCTCAATCCACATCGCGCGGAGCACAACTTTCGATCTATATCCAGTTTTGCTGGTACTTCTTTTTTTTTGCAAACTAGCCTAAGTATTCGAAGAGATCAAAACGTTTTGTGGGATTCGTTGAAGCTTCGAGATATTTTGGCTTAACAATCATGAAAATGCCACTTCCCGCCAACTTGACAAAGCTCTGTATGGGTATTTGAAATCGTCGAAGATTTAACGCTCGATACATAATAACACGTCAAAACATATTTCCCTTTCAACTAGGACAGTAAGCATGTGCGTGAATAAACAGCTGAAAATATGTTAGTGTTTTGTTCGACTCAATGCCTTTTTGTTTGTTGAAGAAAAATAGCTTTATAATTATTTATCTTGTATCCGTGGGTGTCAACGTTATGTATATATGGTGTACTACATAGTACAAGGTTGACTCCCAAGGTCCGTGGGTCTGCGGGCAACTAGTAAGCCCCGTATCTAGGGTTACGCTCTAGCTTCGCGAAGACGGAAGGAAGTGATTCAGGTTACTCTTTATGCTTGAGACAACTCTAAATGCGCAGTTTTACACATTTGCTGTAACTCATAATCCGGTATTTGTCGACCGAAGCTCAGCCTAACGCTACGAAAGAAGCGTCGGAATGCTAAAGACGGAACACAGTTATGCTCCAAAATGTATTTATTGACATTTACGTAGAAATCTACTTTAGTACCATTCATTTGGTATGAGTGCAAGTCGATATTACACGTTGCAGTTTCTTTTGGAACACCTTTGACAATACCATCGTTTCTGGCAGTCTCGTCAGTTCGATGTAAACTAATTTGTAGATATACACACCGGCCCATTTGGTCTATTCATCTTCCGCCAACAAAAGCATAATATGTCGCGAACGCAGCGCCATCATGGATATATATATATACAAGATGCCTTAACAAAATGTATACAAAAAACTTATTTTCATGCAATTAATACCTAAATTGCAAAAGGGTCTCCCGTAGATTCTCAAAACTACTACCGTTCTGGTTAATAAACTGCTGGTAACGGTAGGCTATTGATTCGCAAACTCAATTGTGGCTTTTGTATCTTCAAGTGAATTTGAAACATTTTTTGACTTACTTTTTATTTTAGATATTATAGTCGGAAAAGCCCATTGTGGTCAGGTCTGCGGAACGGGCAGGGTATTTTATAAGACTTCTTTCTTCAACGCACCTTCTTGAAAGGTTCTCATCAAGATAACTATGATAGTGCGCAGGTACTCCGTCATATTGAAAACAACGCTCGCCATCTTTACCGAAATCTTCTTGGATGTGTGGTAGGCCGTATGCTCTCACTCAGCCACTCTAGCATCAAAAAATAGTGATCTAATTTATAGTGCATACATTTTTTGGGATACCATACATGCACCCATAGTTACCAAAAAAAAAAAAAAGGACAGACAAGAGTATGCTCGTTTCAATGTGGAAGATTCCCTTCTACCCAGTAATACCATCTGACAATTGTCGCTGCCGATTTTTATTCCCTGTCTATTAATATTCTGGTATTGTTGAATGCGCTCGAATTAGATGCAACTGTACTAGTTCAAACTAACATACCGCACGACTCACCTCAGTGACAGTATGGCAACATGTTATGCAGAAATACGTTAGCCTATTCCACTAGCATCAGCCGTTGACCGCCGGACGTCACGCCGGCGGCGGGATCAGCCACCACACCAGTTCTAGAAGCCCTAGTTCATTTATTGACTATCCCACAAAAGAGCCCCTTGCAAGACCGCCGTGGCCCCTTCTGGACCCGGATCATTGTGGGCGAGGGGTTTGGTGACGTCAGTGGTGATGTATGTCGCCGTTGCTACTGCTGCTGTTGTAATTTCGGTAAACAAATCAAATTCAGCAGCGCATTCCTGTTGATTAACTATTCGAGGGTGCGTATATATGAGCGATGCCAGCAGTGAGTCAAAGTCGTATGGGTATATGTGTGGATTCCCGCCGTTATTCTGAGATCGACCAAGCCAGCGTCTTGACAGGTCTCCACATCTTTTCGGTGTCTGTCTACACGGGTGCTTTAGTGACTGAACTGGTGTTGTGGTACAGTAGCTTCAATGGCAACACTTCAAGCTCCGTATCATGCCAATATTAGCTTGCTGCCCAACAGGCAAAGACAGAGACTGAAAAGCACTAGGGACGGTTAAACAACATGTCGACGGCACATCGCGCTGGCCAAAACTGGCTTTCCAAACCGTGGGAATAGGGCTCACTGTAGCTCCGGCGGCAGTGGCAGCACCGCTACCTGTCGCAGGCAACAACGACTAAGTACCAGAATCAGTAATGCTGTCGATGATAAGGCGCCATCGAGTCTGCGATGCTTTGGTTTGGTCTGCATAACTGAGCGGTGGGTCCCCCTAGCTAGAATCAACGTCGGGTATGGGTCCTGGCAGAATGAATACATCTCAGTCTGCCGTTACCCAACGCTTAGTGGAGGTGGGTAACCAATGGGTAGCGCTTGGACTCGGTTGATTTCGCTTTAGAACGGATGCATTCATATGTACGTTCCCATTTGATGGAGCGACAGCTTGATCGGTTGTATTGACTAGGCCACACCGGCAAACCTCAAAACACAAACCATTTAAATTGTCGTGAAACATTTGAACGTTATGCAATTGATCGTCAATTATGATAGCCTTTTCACAAAAGCGGAGTACACACAGTCATTAGGAAAAGGTGGTTTGGGGACTCTTTCCTTAAGAATTTGTTTGAATTTACCACTGCACGCTCTGTTTGAAAAAAGTAAACTTCTTAGCGCATCACAAGCAATGCTGGTTGGTTTCTCGTGTTGCATGCAAACGTCTAAACAATAAGAGTCAATGGTGTTTTTGAATGTTTGAATGAATGATATTCACAAGTGCTTTGGTTTGCTATTGGGTAAACTGTGCAACCTTGTGTATGCATTAAAACAAAATTAAGGTACGTTTGACTTCTTTTGGTAAAGTTGAAGCAGTCCGAATAAAAACTATGTAGAAGCAGCACTTTTATTCGAGATTCCCCAAAGAGATTTTATGGGAAGGAACAAATAAAATAATTGAATAAAATACTGTTCACTCTCAATATATATATATACACACTCTCAAAAAAGAGCAACTTATATTCACAGGCGAGACGAAAATGTGTAAATTTACGAAAATACTCACTGGACGATGATACATCACAACTAACACTTTTATTAATAGATTAAGAAAATCTAGTTTCACAAATATAGTTTCACAATAAATATTACCTTTACAAACACGGATCATTTCACAAAGATTCGGAATACCCTTTTTCATGCTAATTAATTTTTTTTACACAGTGTTTTCTTAATTCTTCAGCCATCCTTATCTTAGAAAATTTGAAAAATAGAACTTTACGAAAAGCGAATAATCAATATTTTCTTCTGTTGATAGCCCGCCTGCTACCTATATTAATTCGGCACAGATTGGTGCGAAAGTGTCTGTTTGAATAGGAATAGATTATTATGAGTACTTACAATAAACACAACAGCGATGACGAGCGTGGCTTCTTTGACACTGCAGCCAAAACAGCAGTACCGTGTTCTCCAAGCAATTCTTTTGAAGGCGCTTGACCCTCCTGGAGACATTCCCGAACTGCCCGATACACCGCACGCCAATGCGTCGTTCAGTGACGAACCGTGCTCCTTAAATCCTGCCGAAACCCCTCCATCACGAACATCAGTAGAACTCGTAGTCGTCGGTGTTTCTATTGTGGCTGCCGTTGTTGCTGGGGCAGTTGTCGAAGTAGCTGCTACACTTTCTTCTTCTGTGGTCGCTCGTGCCGCAGTTGTTGCAGTCATTCCTGCGCCGTCTTCAGCTGCAGCGCCAGCGTCTGCAACAATGAAGGAGACATCTTCAGTTGTCAAAATTGTTGGTTTCCTTAAACCGCCGACGGTACCGTCCATCTGGGCCCCTACCGTCATCGTGTCCGCCGCTGAGAGAAGCGTGCCAGTAGGGCATGATGCTGGAGAGCTTCTTTCAGAAGTCAGGGGCCAAACGGCACCAAAACCGCTGCCGCCTTCGCCACTTGACGAAAGATATGCGCAGTCAGAATCGGGATAATCCCCGGCGACCACCCCTCGAAGGGTTCTTTCAGTAGGTGAGCTACTGCACCCAGACAATGTTGTCGTCGCTCTCGATGTCAACGGCGAAGTCGGTAACATATTTTTTGCTGGCAACATCACAGCAGCTGAGTCTGACCTTAGTATCGACGTTGTATCTGCCGGTAATGGCGGACGCACACGCAACAAATATGACTCACCACAATCCTCTTCTGCCATAGCTCTTTCTACTTCCGTATAATAATAGCAATAATGCGGCGACTGCTGTTGGTGTCTGGTGTAAAAGCTGTTTTGCTGATGATTTTGTTGACGGCGGTTGTGGTGATGAGTTGCCCATCCACGATATTGCTGATGGTGATGACGATGTTGATACGGTCGTGATTTTGAGGGCGAAATAACCGTAGCGGCTGCCGCCTCCGTGAGCTCTACTACCTCCGTTGGCATTGATGGTTCGGTTGTTACCACAAAGGCTGCATTTTCCCCTGAAACAGCCGTCGGCGTTGAGGCTGATACCGCAGTCAACGTTGTCGTTAAGCCCGCCGTCGAGCCCATACCAACAAGCTCGGCTGTGTCGCGTGTCGGCGAACGGGACACCGCCCTCGATCTCGCTTTTAGCTCGAGGTCCACTTTGTGTCTTGTCCCACGTCCACCCCACAAGCCTACTGAACTCTCGGGACAAGCGAAATCCTCGAAAATTGGGCCGGAATCGGGCGCATTTAAGCCCTCCGAGCCACGAATGTATCCCAAGGATCCCCGTGGCGGCGGCGGCGACACTCGTAACGGCGAATGCAAAAGCGATGACGGATGGTAATTGCTGTGACTGCGGCTATGGTAACTGTAACTTTGCTGGTCCGCCACTTGTTGCCGCAATAGTTCCTGCTGCCGTAGGTGCTGATCGAGATGAGCGCATCTCTTGTGCTCTTGCTTTTGTTGCTGATGGCGGTGCTGCTGCTGCTGCAGAAGTGGATAGTTATGCGCCACCACTTGGCTCCCACTGGCGCACAGCCGCCGCGACGATGGCGGTGATGGACTGCTGCCGTCGCTGCCCTCGTTGTAGCCAGCAACTACGGCTGAGCCTGTTGGCGCCGCTACTTCGTCCAGCTGTAGAGATGTTCTTTGATTTGTATTGCGAGCGCTGTTTCGACTGTTGTCTGAGCTGTCTTTGCTGAGGCCAACGGGTTTGACGACGGCGAGCGCGCCGCGCTGCGTCACCCCTGCTGCTACTGTTGGCGGCGGAGACTCGACGAACGCCGTCGTGGCGCCGGAGTCCGTGAGCGGCGACGACTGCAGGTGCGGTGGCACCGACACCAGCGGTGATGACTGTAACGATGCTTCGGGTGGCCAGGGCGGCGGCAGAGGGTAGCGCGGCGGCTCGCCCGTCACAGAATAGGCTGAGGAGGCCGTTGGGACTGCGCTGATGGCAACGGGTACGCTGATATGGGCGGCACACCCAGCGCCGCACGTCCTCAGCCTCACCGGAGCTACGGACGATTCGTCGTCGTCGTGATTGTTGTTGCTCTCGTTGTTGTTGCTGCTCCTACTATTTTTTCCTTCTTCGTATGCTTCTGAGTCGAGGAAATCAACGTCACCGTCGTCCTCGTTCTCTTCGTCTTCGTCGTCGTCTGACAGCAGTTCTTCGTTCTCCTTTCTTCGCCGGCACCTCTCGCCGTCAATCTTGTCGTTGTTTCGGGTGTCTTGATAATTATTCCTACGTATGTTACCAACTCAACTCCACCGTTGCAGTACAGGCTCTCAAGATTCTTAAAAGAAAAGTTCTCGACCATGCGATATACCCTGTCGCTGTGAACCACTGGTTTCTTTTTGTCGAACTCTCCTCTGCTTCTCTTCAATTTTGTCTGCTGTGCTTTAGTTTCGTTCCGTTGTCGGTACAGCTTCCGCTGCAGTTTTATCTGTAGAAGTTGTTTCTGCTGCTGCTGCTGGCCGCGCCGCTTACGGGTTGTAAGCGGCTCTCTGAGCGGCTGACGCGCGGGGGCGGGACACGGAAGCGGTGGGCTGGGCCCCCGCATCACCTTCTGCTGCGTGTGGCGATCATACAATGACAGATGACGAAAGTCGTGTCAACACGAGTGAGCAAATGAGAAAAATAGGACGGCAGGAAATGTCAAGCCTAGAAATATCTGCAGGGTTTTGTTTCATAGCAGTTCCACTGATTCATTTAATGGATAAATTCTAGTGACTGGTTCTGTTCGTTATTTTCGTCGTCTCTTAGGAACTGGATAGGGTATCTCTTTTTTTTTGTTGTTTCACTGCCTGTTTACTGCGTTATTAGGAAATTAAGTTGCAGTCGACGAGTTACGTGGGCCTCTGTAAGCTCGGCTATATAGAAACGAAAGATTAACTGGACAAAGTCACCAAAGACTTTTCGTTTGTGGTTGTCGTCCCTCCAAAATGCAATTTCGAAACTTCGCCACGCCGGTCACCACGCGTCGCACTCACTGACTCCAACGAAGCTTACTTTTAAGCTATCACCAGCATCACTGTTTCTTACATCTATGAACACCGTTTATCTGACACATACGCACATTCAGTTGCTCTACACTAGTGGAAATCCCTTTTGTTCTCGTTTTTTCTGAGCTTTGAGTTGGACGCTACACTTTTTGCAAGCGTTTCACTATCGTCACGTTTCCCTAACGAAAGTTGATGACGATGATCATGATGGTTTAAATGGTGAGATGTCATCTGCATGCAGCTGTATGCACTAATGACGGTGCATATATGAATGCGTTGCCGGTTAATGATCTCAATGGGTATCGGTTCGGCAGGCGTAACGAAAACGGTCTCTAAACGTAGTTCGATCCCGATGAAAAAATAGGGACACAATTATTTTACAGACTCACAATCTCGCACAAAGCGAACATCTATGACCGAAATCGGGGCTCTTCCTGGTTGCCCCGAGTGATTTTCACGGAGGGCAGCGCAATTTTACACCAATTTCCGATTATTTCATTCGCGTACACCCACGCTTACAATTACTTACAGGCAGCTAGCGCGCCTAAAATCTAACCAAGCAACGGTGACCAATCAGTGAATTACGTCTATCACACATGACAGCTTCTCAAAAAGTCGGTTGCGTTCTTCTCATAACAGGCATGTAAAAGAAACATTCGTGCACATTTGATCCTCACGATGCTCAGCCTCCTCACCTTGCTACAGATGCAATCACAATATTCACAAACGCTTTGATTATGGTTTTTGCCCCTGAATGTTGACACGCTACTTCTCCCCGATCCCCAAACACTGGTGTTAGTGTTTACCGAAATCTTACTATAAATAACTGTAGTATGTCTGTGTGGTAGAATAACGTACCCTTCATGCATCCAGATCTAAAACAGTTGTTGGTACGTTGGGTTAGGTTCTGTCTGATCCATTACGGTGTCGCTGGGTCTGTTTCGGCTTTTGCTTTCGGGTACTGACTATCGCCGCTTCACGCCATGCTTGTAAACCCGTTGGCATCTGATACATTCTGTCAATTTCTGCACAGCTAGCAGCAGTAACTGCTTGCGGCGGCAGCAGCAGCAGCTTTGCTATCGTTTTCGCGTTTACGCCTAGCCGTCACGACACACGCTCAGGCAGATTTGGCCTATTCTTGCCACAAGTATGGACCAACTCAGTGACCGATTCCGTGCCTTTGCATTGTGTAACCTCCTAGCTAGAGAACACGGTTTTACAGCTAACCGTTGTCTTTTCGCCTCTCTGTCGTCCTGATGGTAGTTTTGTATTGTAGGATCAATATCCTGTTGTTTCCTTGTCTCGCCTGCTGATGGATGTGTCGAGGCCTTTGTTTCGACTTCACACAACGGAAGATAGTCAATCCAGAATCAGCTTGGTAGTATCTTGATCCACAGCTGTGAGTCTCCCAGCCTATCCACTTGCCCCAGCTCAAAAGCTAGTTCAATGACACTTACAGGGGTTCGCCGAAGGCTCGCAAGGTGCTCCGTTTCATCCAGAGATTCCTCCACTGGACACAGTACAGCTGGTTGACTTTGTTTCATTCAATTATTATTCGAGGCTCATACGGGAGCAACAAATGGACCTAACGTCGAATTCCGAATCGCCACCCACAGCCTGTCCAGCAGTATGTTTTTCCTTGTTTCAGTCTGTTGTTGTTGTCAATCCCACTTTTTTATTCAGCAGCAAAGCACAGTCAAACTCGTCAAGCACGACTTTCCGAAGGACCAGCTAGTTACACTAGCGGCACGAGTCTCTCTCTCTACGCTGCTCTAACTTAATCCAGCCAATACGATGATAATGATGAGTTGACTCACCTCAACTCGACTCGGGTTTAGAGAGTTCGAACTGTATGAGTTCTTTGTCTTCTTACCTTTTTCCTATATTTTGCCATTGCTGTCTTTTGTTCTCTTCGAACTTTCTGGCTGTTTCTGGCCTGTCTTTCTGCTCCCTGCTTATGCCTTCCTGTATCCGACACGTACTCCGACCTGAACCTCAAACGGTTCACGTCAGACGTACTCAGACGCATTCAGACGCGGGCCGCTCTACTGAGCGTGATTGGCCGCCTCTGCTATCCTAGTACGGGTAATGCCTGTTCCTGGCTCTTGCTGCTGCGCCTACTACTGTCTGACTCGCCTGCTGCTGGCCTGCGGTGGCCTCCCGCAGCCTGCTCCTTGCTTGGCTGTCTACTTGCTTGGTTGCCTCCTAACGTCCGTCCGTCGCGACGTCCGTACAACAGCCAGCCATCTCCTGTCGGCTGCTCAACTCCCACTTCTCATGGAGCGCCGCGACTGCCGCTCCACTCGCCGTTCCAGCCGCGGTTCCCGGCCGCTCACCCCTGGCCACAAGCAGCAGACACTAGGGCAGGCCATCATCGCCACAGCCAGGCTACTCACTCCAAGATGGCGGCCGTTCGCAGCCAACCTTTCTCTGTGCTTGCCTTGGCAGCGCTCGAGCTGAGTCGAGTGTCGGAGCTAGTCTTAGCGGCGCTCATCGTTTGGGACCCCATGTACAACTTGGACTCGCAGGCGCATCTAACGCAGACCTAAGAGCCAGAGCTCGAAGTACGCGGGTCAGAGGAATAAAGCAAAAGTCGGGCTAAATCTCGAAAGTCTTCCTTCTAACGGACTGCTAATGGGCTGCATATATTCAGACAAAGACAGAAACATTCACGATTGCTACCAGGCGCAATTGTTGTCGTTGTCGTTGTCTTCATCGTCCAGTACTCGGTAATTGCATAATCGTTCATGTTATACTTGCGCATTCTGGTGAAGAGTGACGCTCAGTGACGATCAATAAGAAATTATCTTCCCCACAACTATGGTTTTACGAGCGAGAAGCAGCCGTTTGTCGGATACGTTATGGAGCAAAAGCAGTATTAATTTCGTAAATGTACAAATAACCCAAACAGCTTAAAAAAACATATTCGTAAATTTGCACATTCTGCTCTCCACCAGAGGCATCAAGAAGCGGCAATGCAAGCCCCAATGTCCATGAGGTCGTTCTTAGCGTTCTACAACTTACAATAGATAGACCTCACAAGAAAGCACGAAAACGCTACGGAGCGATGGAGCGATTGGAGGAGGGAAATCACACGTGCGAGAGAGGGTAAAATTAAGAAAGCACGAGAGAAAAGTGAGGGAAAGGGGAACCGATAGAACGGGAAACGGCATCGATAGAATGGGCTGACACCGCGACTTACCGCCACCCGTCTGCATTATGTCGTCTGTAGACCCACTCCGTTCCATCCTATTCTGGCCCATCCTTTTCTAGATCCCCGTCCTCTTCTAGCAGCAGCGGCCGTTCCCTTGCCCTCAACTGTTGCCTCAGCCACAGTGTCAGCACCTAGAGTCGGAACCACCATATCATAACCACCGCAGCCAGCAAGCAAACATTGATGTGCCGGCAAAAACTCGGTAGAATTTTCTGTTTCTTTATTTCTTTCTCCCTCTATGCAACCATCTTTCTTCTCCTATCGTTCTTTGCTTGAGATACGACGAGTTCGCTTATTATTGCTGAGCCTGAAAGTCAGCGACGACTAGCTGTTCCTGCTACACCACTTGAAATCGCTACTACCATCAACGAAAACGTCGAGTGACCTGTACCCGCTGCCGAGGCTGTCGCCGCCGGCCCCTTCAGCAATAGCAGGACGATCGGGGGGCCACTATAGTTCATGTCGGCAATGACCATCAGCGTCATGCCAAGCCTCCTTGGCATGTGCGCTAGCGATTTCTAGACGAGCTAAAATAGCCTGCCGAGAAACAAAGCGCGAGGCGGGAGGAGGCAGGACGGACGGACAGCGTGCTGTTAAAACGTCAAAAGCATGTTACTGCATAGTTATTATTTCTGCTCCTATAACTCATTCTTGCCATGATAGCATTGCTGACCTCCAAAGCAGTGTTAATGCTCGAGCATTTCCTTCGAAATGAAAAAGACCTGAAATTTCACACGGTTCGAGTTAACAATCTTAGAAGTGGTTTTGCAACCCAACCGTCTACTACCAATGTTGTGAATCAGTGCTTTGTTTGACATGTAACATACTATCATACGCTGGTGGTTACAAGTAAGATTAAGCAACAAAAAAATTAAAGCACACTGAATAACATTTTAATTTGGTCGGTTCCGTGTGCTCACGTTGTCCCTGCATTTCCCTCCATTTAGGTGTTCGATTATTTTTATGTTATTGCACTGACCTTAAACTTAATGGCAGCAAATCGAAAAAGATGAAGTATTTATTGCATGGCAGGTCAAAGTGATTTGTATGCTAGTTAGAGTCTATGATTTATCAGTCAAGAAATGTGTCGTATATGTTTCAATAAAGGAAAAGACGGCTTCCTTCTCGCTGTGTAATTGATGCGTGTTTCAGCGGTGCGCAACCATACAGATGTTGATAATTTACGGAGGGAGTTCGCATGTAGAATCGTCGATATGAATACGATGGCACCGAACGGAACTATCATAAGATGAATGCAAGTCTGACTTAAAGCTCTCGCAAGCATCATGACGGAATAGATATCAGCAATAGAAAAACAAACAAAAAAACTTGGAGATATAACCTCTGCACGAATTTTTTAATTAACACAAATTTCCGACTGAAATTCTGTCAGATGGAAATCTTGGCTTTATGATTACATGGATACTTTAAACGAGTCCGAGACCTACTCTATGATTTCAAAATCTTAATGTCTTCCTACACAGCGTACCATAGTTACGTATTATAGCAATAAGATTACACACGCCATAGCCTCTTTAAGTATTATTGTCGTCAGCATTCTTTATTCAGATAGAGATATAAAGAGGTGCTTTGATACTGCTTAGGCTGCTAGTCTTTTACGAAATAAAATAATCGACCTATTAGTTTGGGCACTTTGTACCGTGGTTTTCTTCTTAGTAATATTAGATGTTAGTCTTGTACGCATCTGACCAGAGTCGAACAAAAGTCTTAGTCTTGAAGAGTGAAGGAAAAGGAGAGCGTTAATGAAAAATAAGTTCTTTTTCTGAATGTACTTAATTGGTTACAAATCCTTACTTTATTAGCGCATTCGGAGCTATTTGGCACGCAGAAAACTTTTAAATTGCACTTCATTGAAGTCTGGTAAACATTTATATAGAGTACACATGATATACATCTGTCAGCTGGCGAGTGTTACCAGAAAAGAGTGAGTTTAGAGATAAAGATAATGTTTAAAGTTGAAGTGATAAAGTTTGTTTTTCTAAAGTGAAGTCTTCAAAGACTAGTAAAAACGCTGCGCAAAAAACTTTTAGCGAAATAATAGCTTTTTGTTAGTGCAGTCATTAAAAAAACGAGAATCGGGCCGCTGAAGGCCCTAGAGAAGATGACCGCATTTCAGGAATTCAAACGGGGAGACAAGTTGCTGTGACCACGGAAATTCTTAACTAAATAAGGCCTAAAGATTGCGAATATTGGGTTCCTTTTCAGAACTATAGAATTCTAAAGAGGATATTGAGCAAAAGCAAGAAATAGGCTCCTCAAAAAGTGAATTTTGGTAAGATGGGAAAAAGCTAGAGACATTTTCGTTATTATTGACAGTATAAAGCCCATTTGGAGCGTACCATCTCCATAGTAGTTGGTCGTTCCGTGCCGTTCCCTACAGAAAGATCACGTGAAAAAATGGCATCGAAGAAAATATAAAGCGACTTAGATCATGCTCGCAATGTGTTATACATCAAGGACTGTTATTATTATGAGATAATGCCCGAAAGTAGAAACCGTCAATGCTGTCGCAGATCTCGAATATTTGGAGCGCTTCATCGAGGTATGGCAAAATGGACAGCGCACAGCATAGCCATTCGACGACAACCCCAGTCTGGTCCACATGCTTCAGTCACGGCCTAGGTTGAGGAAAATGTAATCGAACAATAGCTTCAGTGTCTGTATTCTACAATTTTTCTTCTGGTTCAGTAATATACTGTCATAATCGCTATTTTTTTATATTTTTGATACCGATTCTATTTCTGATTCTACATCTTCTTTACTGAGAATTAAACTAATTATCGTTTAATTTAATTATCCTTTTTATTGAAGCATACGTTCTTCCATTATTTATAAAATTACATTAAAATAAATTAATAAAAAGCTATATACATTCCCGCATTAATCAAATGAACAAAAAGAAAGTAGAATTAAAGTACAGAGTTTTTTTTTTGTTAAAAAAAGCTCACCTGCAGTTGTACTAAGCGTTGCCTTATGCCATTCAATCTTATATAGCCCGTTCGTTAGAGTTTGGTTGTTTCCACTTTCATTATAGTTAAATAAGGCCTACATGTTAAGGGCTAGATTATCAAATAGCTCCTACATTTAGTACTGGAACTTCTGTATATTCAGACAACCCATATAGTGAACACACTTCTCAACTCTTTTTTTTATTTAATTCAGTCTTAGATCTTAGATGTTTTCGAGTTATTCTTTTTTTCAGTAACTTTTATGTCATCATAACGTTCTTATGAATGTTTGCTGTTTTTAGATTCTTATCGAGATAGAAGATCTTAAAGACAAGGAAAACAAATAGAAAATAAGAATTGTAAAAAACAAACATGAAAGGATAAAGAATTTCCATTCGATTATTGTCGAAATGTAGCAAGGATGAATTAAAAATAAAAACCATTTTTCCTTGAACGGCCAGGAAAAGTTCTAGTCACATGATGTAAGTTGGCATTCTAAAGAAAAAAAGTATGTCTTTAAAAACGTTCCCCTTTATTACTGTCAAAATGATAAGGACCCGCTAAGCTACACGGTGTTAATAACATTGTAACACTATGAGAGATTAAACTATTTGAAGATGTGTGAGGAGATCTACAGTGCAAGGTTTTTTGTGTATTTCTTTCGTTTATGGATAATTAGAACTCGGATTGATCTAGATAGAATTAGGACAAAAAACAATAAATATTATATTAAAAAAGTCAATGTTGAATTTTTAGCACATTAATTGGATTTTAAGTAAAACTTTCGATACGTGCGATATCATCTAATGATGTATTCACAAACAAAAATCATGAAATGTTATTGTCGTAGCTACCAAGCTTTGGTTACTCGCTTGTGGAATCGCATGTCTTTCCAATGATATACATCAATATAAATGAAATCCAGAACTGTCGGCAGTATTTTCAGTATATCTAATCGATACTCATCAATAAAATCCCGAATGATACACACTCATTACAATATTTGTATAAATAAAAAGAGTTATATGTAATCAATAATACCATGCTTTGCGGACTGCGAGTTATCCATTTTGCTTTTTTTAGCTAATTTGACCGCTCCACAGATGTGTTCCTTTAGTACTTTCAAAATCTTATATCACCAAAATGTCTGCAGGTACATATATGCTCTACCTTAGAAGAAAACGACACATTCAACCCGTTGACTTGCAAAACATGTTTATTTAGGTGTTGTTGTTGCTTTCACTGCATTTATTTTCACCATCAATTATCGGCAGCCTCACCTCATCGCATCCGCTTTCATTGATGCCCCATTTTCGTCCGCAGCAGTAGCAACCATTCTTTTTCTTCTTGTACCCTTGTTCCACCCCTCACTTTTTAATAATTATCATTATTATCATCATCATCATTATCAGCGTCTTTCGTTCTATGATCAATCTCCACCTGTCTTCTAGCCATCTTAACTACTGCTATTCTTTGCTCCCCTCCTGCATATTCTCCATTTCATCATTATCTATTATCATAATCATCATTTTGTCGTCATTATCATCAGCAGCATTGTGTCTTCATCGCCATTATGTTAATTGACATTCTATCGTCATGGTGTTTCATATTTACAAATGTACCCACCCCTTCGCTAGCAGAACTGGCCACCTCTGACGGTATTCGATACCCGATAGCGTCGTATCATACCGTATAAACCACACAGCTGTTTCGCCAAGAGGTTATCAGCACGATGGCTTGGATGACATGAGCTTTCCGTATCGTTCTTTCCTGTTTTTCGTTTTTTTTTCCTGTTTTTCGCTTCTTATGTTTTTTTTTGTATCCGCCCTTTCGTCGACAGGGTAGCCGTACCCGAAGTGGTAAGCATTTTGGTGTTTTGCCTCCGCTTCCGTTTCCACGCATAGCCTGTAGTTTCCACTTGGTCCTGTTTCAGTTCTGTTATGATCAGTCTTGTCTCGAACTGGCCCAGCTAGTCGTCGCTCGCAGTAATACCCCATTTAGCCTTGTTGTTTCTTTGCATTTGGCGAACGACTGCCGAGTTACTACCGTTTGTTGTGGGGTAGTTCAATTCTTAACTGATCGGTGCCTGCCGTATCCGGTCGCTTTCATCACAGCCTACAGTTGCGCGGCCTGTTCATAAGATCGCCATCAAATGTGATCAACGTCCTATTGATACGAACCTCATCGTTTTATTTGTTATTAATGTTTTGACGTTTTTCCATCGCGGACCCTGCCGCAACCGCAGACCCACACCACAATTTGGGTTAACTACAGTCAAATAGTTGTTCTTTATTATTATTACTGCAATTTTCGGTGGTATTTCCTTTTTTAAATCATCCTGATATTAGTCGCTTACACAGTAGTGCGATAGTCGCGTTTTACCGCGCTCACATAGAGAATTGGCCAAAGACCAAGCGCACTTCAGTAAGTCAATTATTAGCGATATAGCGCAAATAGTCCAGAAGTCATTTTTTCGAGATCGACTGGCTAACTGGTTAGGTGTCAGAACCAAACGAGGTAGAGGCAGAACAATATTCGGTGAAGGCGCATTCGAAAACCCACTAAAACGCCTAGAACAAATTTTTACTCAGCCGTTTCAGATCTGAGTTAGAAGCCGGATTCGTTGAATGTGAGTGCAACGATACGAGCCAAGGATAGGCATGGATATCGCCTGGAGTGCAGGTTAACATTAAAATAGAAAAACGTTTCCGGTGTGTATGTGTGTACGTATGTTTGGGTGTGTGCACGTATATGTCTGGGTCTGTATGTGTGCGCCCATATGTTTGTGTCTGTGTCTATGTGGTATGTGTGTGTGAGCGTGCGCGTCTATGTGTGTGCGCCTGTGTATATGTGTGCTGGTGTGTACGAGTGTGTGCTGGTGTCTACGAGTGTGTGTTGGTGTGTACGAGTGTGTGTTGGTGTGTACGAGTGTGTGCTGGTGTGTGCAAGTGTGTGCTGGTATTTGCAAGTGTGTGCTGGTATATGCTGGTGTTTGCGAGTGTGTTGGTGTGTATGTGCGTGCGCGAGTGTGTGTCTGTGTGAGTGTGTGCCTGTAAGTATGTGAGTGTCTGTCTGTATGTGCGTGTGTGTGTCTGTCTGTATGTGCGTGTGTGTGTCTGTCTGTATGTGCGTGTGTGTGTCTGTCTGTATGCGCGTGTGTGTGTCTGTCTGTATGTATGCGTGTGTGTGGTGTATCTGTATGTGTGTGTGTGTTTAGCGTGCGTGTGTGTGTGTGTCTCTAGCTGTGTGTGTGTGTGTGTCTTATGTGTGTGTGTGTGTGTGTCTTAGGTGTGTGTGTGTGTGTGTGTGTGTATGTGTATGT